CATAAAACAAAACCCCTCTGCTGATAATTTTGGGGTTAAAAACTATAAAAGCGCATCATGAAGCAACTTTTACCGAGAAGGAGAGATAAAAATTTTTTTTAGGTGAATTGATTTGAAAACTGCCTAAACGAAAATCCCATGTTTCACATAAATTAACGTCTACGAAAAGCACAAAGTTTCTTTTCATAAAACGAGTTTATTATAATTTCTGCGACGTCGATCGCAAATTTCTTCTTATTGCAGCTTGTGTTTTGTAAAAAGGTGAATTTTCAATTTTTTAAGGCGAGTAATAAAACTTAAATATGACTTCGAGAGCAGATTTAGAGATGAAAGACATTTACACTAAATGTCTTTCAACTCTAATTTTTTACTCAAATCAGTTCATGATAAATATCCTTTTGATTTTAATATCTTATTATTGCTTAAAAAACACTACTTCAGTGGTGTATTAAGTTCATTGATCTACTATCGCCGTTTATAGTGAATAATAATACCATTTGAGTTTTCTGTTTTCTCACATTAATACCTGTTGTTTTGATTTTTTGAATGGGAAATTGTGAACACAGTGACCTTTTAATGCGCTTTTAGGTGTCATCTTTTAGTAAACCTTGCTCTGAGCAACTGTAAAAGGGTTGAACACTCGTCAAAATATCATATATGCTATACGGTGGTAATTTCTTGTTTTTTCCTTTTTTTCGTGTATTTCACATGGATGTTGGATAATTAGTCAACTGTCGAAATAAATCATTATCGAGATTCAGTCTAAAGGATTTTATTTGTTTTTATTATGCTTTTCTTTGTTTTTATTTTTTCCGCCGCGTTTATTTCATCCTTGATTTCTGGCGAGCTATTTTTTTTGTTTGGTTGTTGTAGTTGATTATGACTAAGACTAATAAAAAATCTGAGAAAAACATCCTTATTCGTGTACATGAAAAAAAGTTTATTACCGACGAACCCGGTCAATTTTTGAACCCTTAAATGTCTCCTATTTCGAAAATACACCGAAAATTTCTGAAATCGTAGCATAATTTTTTTTACCTTTTCACTGGTTGCGTTTAAAAATGTCCCAAATTTCAGGCGTCTTTGAACTTTTTTATGGATGCACATGTTTGTCCACTTCTAATTGGAATAAATTTTCAAACATTCTATAATTTGTTTTGATTATGACGTTTAAATAATAGCAATTTCCATAAATTATAACGAGTTCTCCGTAAAAAATATTTCATCCGGAAAACGCACTTCAGAACAATCATCTTAACTTCATTTAAACTTAAAAATGAAAAACTCAATTGAAAAATCTCGCGGCGTCCAGTTATTTTTTAATGTCCCTTTCGAACCGGACTTCAAAAGGATCCAGTTTTTTTATACTTTTTCAATTAGGTCATATTGTTTTATCCATTTATCTTATTATTTCTCTGTTATCTTGGTTTGATATTTTTATTAGTATACAATTTTTAAAAGCAGTCCCAAGTAAGTTGTTTTTTTTTAAATTATTGTTTAGTCTAAGCAACCCTCAAACGAAACTTCAAATACTGGAACTTCAAGCGCAACTTCAGGCATGAAAAACTTATTTCGGGCTGCAACGGGACGAACTTCTTCTAGTGGTGCCACCGCTAGGAATTTATCGTCAACGCCGACAACAACGCGACAACAACTTCATTCAGTTGGAGGAGAAAACTTGAACGCCCCGAAAGATAACGAAAGCACAAACTATGAAGTTAGTTTTTTTATTCTATAAATAATTCGTTTTGTATATTTCCATTCGCATTTTGAAACTAATTAAATTTTAAATTAATATTTAACACAGGTTCTCGAAGAATACCTGAAAAGGATAGGAAAAGTTTCATACATTTTTGAACATTTTGGACAATGCAAACTTAAAATTTGCTCCAATAACTCAAATTAAAATGTTAGTTATTTTGCAAGAATTTATACTTTTTTTCAAATCGCTATTTTTTAAAGCTACAAAACCAATACAGTCCGTCTCAAAAATATTGATCACAAAAATTCACCATTTTATGCCGAATCTATAATTGAAAAAGAAAGATAGGGCAAATCGTAGTACATTTTCAGCCATCTTCTCATGTTCAATTACATCTTAAATCCCCACCTACCTTTGAACCCGAGGCCTTAGCCGCCCATAATTATATACATTGTTTCTCTGGAGTAGAATGGTAGCCTCAAATCCCTGGTTTTTACTAACCAGTCTTAACTAATAATAACCAGATCGATATACATTAGTTGGGATTAGGGCGTAAACTAAAAAGAAGGAATTGGGGTAAAAATAGCCACAAGGCTAAATCAGCCTGTTTTTTTTTTCTACACCAACTGGAAAAATCAAGAATTTTTTTTATGATTGCATCATGTATGCATTTATTATTGATTTGATATATCGGATATATCAGTATTGCAACCGCAATGTCCTTTTTTGGAGTTTCAATTTTTGAGGTTTGAGAAAAATGGAAATCGCTTGTCTAACTTTTTGATTTTTCTTAGTGTGAAGTTTGATATTTATGGTGAAAATTATTTGAACCTTTAAATTTTTGAACCCCGGTAAGAGGGCAATATTGTTTATTTAGGAAGGTGCGAGTTTACTATGAAATGATTTTATAGCCTCTTAAGCTGTCTGTTTGAGCTCTGAAATAACTTCAAAAGAGCCTGCTCCTGTTATTAAAACTTATAGATTACTCTAACCTTCATTTCAAAGAATCAAACAACACTTTCAACTAGAGGGAACTGTTTCCATCTAAGCATATACCGTAACAAGAACAGGTAATATTGAAATATATCCGGATATTTTGGATTTCTTTCACCTCAAATTTTGCCAGTGTCACAATTTTACAACTTCAAAGCCAATAAATTCACTTATGTTCTGATGATGAAAGCAACTGGTATTGGTATCAAGTAAAATCCGGCACATAACCTGATAAAATGGGGGTAATTTTGTTTAAACAGTGGGTTCTTTTTAGACGGGTAAAAACGCCCGCAGCCGATCACGTGGTGCACAGCCGCCCAAAACGCCATCATCGCCGGTCAGAAAGCGGGACGCAAGTGGCGGCAACAAAGCTATAGAACATGAAAACTCCCCCGCAACCGATTTGGCGCAAGAGTTGTGCTTGGAAATTGATGACGATGCCACTAAGCCGACAACAGCTGAAAGTTCCACTAAGCAGAATGATGATCAGGGCATAGTTTTAGATGAAAATGGAGAATTGATGGATAACTCAGAGTTTGATTTATTAAGAAGACATCAAAGAAGATCACATAAATCTAAAGGAAAAGTTCCCAGGAAGTACATTTACGATCGAGGCGTGTACAGACGGAGCAAACGATTCGGTTAGTTTTCTCATGTTTTTTCATGATCAGTAACTTTTTTGTAGTTATTTGTTATACCTTAGTCGGATCAAAAAGAACTACCAGAGACGGTTGAAGACACTTTTATCCCGGGTTGACCAAAAATGCTAGTCATATAATTTTTATATATGGAAAAACGCGAATCATATGCCTTTCATGCAATTCAATAAGAACAAAAAATTGCGTGGAAGTTGTATGATCAGTGTCTTTTATATATGGAAATTTTAGTAATAGTAATTCGCCATAAAACAAAAAAAATTTTTTTTTTTTTTTTCAAATTGAATTTCTCGAAGTTATTGAGCTGTGTTTGTAATCGAACAGAAGTGACACAGACCATGGCTTACTGAAAAGTAGAGTAATCGAAAATTTGATCGCATTGCATTTACAATGCACTGGAAATGACCTGAATTGTCTTACACATATGAATTAGTGAAAATATCAAACTTTCAAAATTGAGCAAAAATTTTAAAAAATGATCATTTTCAAAAAGTTAAATTTTGATAAATCAGGCGCTGATCAAGGCATACATTAACAAACAATAAAAATTGAAAAGTGTGTAGCGCGTTGCTGATAAAATTATACAGACAAATAGAAAAAAAAACAAATTTTGTTTGTACGAGACTACGTAAAAATTAAAATTTTGAAATAAATATTTTTTTTAGAATGAAAGTCGTTTTGCAGTTGAAATCAAATCAAATTTTCGAAAGTTTTTCGAAACTAAGCAGAAAACTTTTGTTTTCGCCGTCAAAAAAAATCTAATTATACAATTTCCACGTAAGCAAATTGTAGGATTAGCATGTTTTAGACAAAGTTTTTCCTTATTTATGAAAATACACCAACTGTTATGCCAAAACGAGCAAAAAATTTATTCGAAGCACAAAGACACTATTTATTGAAATTTAATAAAGTTGTTTGTTAGCTTATTTTTCAAAGAGTTAATGGAATTGTATGATTAGCGTTTTAGGTCTTTAGGTAAACCCGGGCTTGATACATGATTTCACCTTTTTGGTCCTTTTCTTTTTTTTCAAACTGCTCGATTTTAAAAAAATTTTTACAAAAAAAAATCGTTCAAACGGCTCAAAAATTTTCAGTGCGAGATAATTGTGCTAAGCAAACAAAATTGCATTTGACACTTAAGCTTGCAAAATTGAGTTTATCATAAAAATGATATCTATATGGGCAAGGCACAAGAACACATTATGACCGTGTTTTTGCGTTGTTGAAGGCGACCCAATAACGATTCTAAGATTTTTTGGGTTTAGTAGTTAATCATTTCGATCTATAGGAGTCATTTTGCTTTTTCAGAGAAAAACGAACTCACCGTTAATTTTTGTTTTCAAATGATTTCTTTGCGAAACTCATAGCATTTTGCAAAAAACACAAATTTTTGTTCCGACCATTTAAAAAACGTGGAAGAACTTTGTTTTCGGTTGTGTTTTAATTTTCTATGCTGTTTTTTTTCACACAAAATGGGGTAGAACAAATTATTGCCGGTTAGGTCGAATGGCAAACCAAAAAAAAACTATTCAATCGTGATTCGAAGGACATAAAAAAATTTCCCAAATATTCCTCGTTATTGCGAAGAACCATTTTAATTTTTATTTCAGAATAAAGTGAGCAAGCAGGTTACAACAACCTAGTTATGCTTAATATAAGCCTGAAAACTTAGTGTGAGCCTATTAAATTAAATTTTGAAGTTTTTAGCGCCATTTTGGGATCCAAAAATTTTGAAAAAATCAAAATTTTCCTGCAAGAAAAAATATGAAAAATAATTGATTTTTAAAATTTTTTTCAAGATTTTGTTTGTTTTTCTGCTCAAACTAACTCTAATTGAATTTTAAAAAAATTGATCAGTAATTTTTTGAAAACTATGCTCGGAACAGTCTATGCTACTTGCCTTATTTTGATTTAAGTTTCTTAAATTTTCAAGGAAACCTTGAAATTGAAAAGCATTAAGGCTTAGTTCAATTAAAAAACAAACGTTTTTCAAGAAAAAATCAACCATAAATTTTTAGTGATTAAAAAAATTGTTTTTTTTTCAAGTTTTCTTTTTCTTCTGAAAAAACATTATTCAGAATATTTACTTTAATTGTTCTTGTACTTTTTGATTGATTTTTTGAATCAGTATAACTGATCAAAATTTTAGTGTTTTTGATTTGTCGCGGTTACATTTTTGGAGTTTGTATCACAACAAATTAATTTTCTCCGAATCCGAAATCAAAATTTTGGCCCACATTTTTTTCATATTTTTGTCCAATTTCCCTGTATTACTATGACCGTCGATCAATTATGGCTGTAGTGCCATTAATGAACAAATTTTTCTCAAGAACAATTCAAACAGTATTTTTTCAGTGATGAAAACACATTAGTTCTTTTTTCCCTTTTTATTTTTCCATCTGATAAAACAAGTTTCGGAAAAGATTCAAATTAATTGTTCTTGCGCTCTTTTGAATGGTTTTCCTTGCACCAGAATAACTGATCAAATTTTTCAGTGATTAAAGAATTTTTTTTTCAAGTTTTCTTTTCCTTCTGAGAAAGCAAATTTCTGAATCGATTTAGCTTAATAGCTTTTGTGCTTTTTTGAATAGTTTTCCTTGCAACATCTGATCAAGTTTTTATTATTTTTTGATTTGTTGCTGATTTATTTTAAGTATTTGTATCACAACAACTTTTCCCCACATCTGCAATCAAAATTTTGTGTTTGAGAGGTAAAAATTATTATTGAATTCAGCTTAACACTGAAATTTTTTTAACCTCTTTTGTAGGTCAATTTCATTTTTTACTATAATCACCAAAAAATGACCGAAATTACACTTTTATTCATCATTCAAAAATCTGAAGGAGTTTTGGGCTAAAAGCAGACTATGATTGATTTGCAATATTTCATCACGAAATGACGTATAAATTGTTTTTTTTGGCATGCAGAGATTTTGAACCGGATGTTCATCTGGCAGAATTTATTTTTAATAAACTTTTTTTTGTGAAAATGCCTGTTGATAAATTTTGTGGTTTCAGCTGTTAATTATCCTAAAACTACATACTTTGCCTTCAAAATTGAAATCTTTTGAGTTCATTTCCATTAGAAAGATTTGAACACTTTATATGTGAACCAAAATTCGCTTTTAGATATGGTCGATACACCGCCTCACGCTATACAATGATTGCATCAAATTCTCCAGCCGGGAAAAACGAACTAGTGATTAAAATATAAATTACTTTTTCTATTTCGATCCGGCTGAGATCATAAACCCAGTTTACCAATTTATAACTAGGAAAAACCACCACTAACCAAATTAACCCAACATAGAAGAAGCTAACTCAAATATAATTTGCTCAGGTCGACTTGCTAGGCTTAAAATAGCTCCGCCTTTTGCGATTTTAGGAATTTGTAATTTTAATGATATTCACAAGATTGTCTGCAAAATATGCGCATCTTTTGTTCAAAGCGCCGCCTTTTTTAACACTGCAGCCTTCGGCCTGATATGAACAAATTCTATCATTCACTTTATAAATGCCACGGTATGAGTCAAGTTATTAAGAAAAATGGTAATTAAAAAAAGAAACTAATTTAAATTGAAATGTAGCTAAAGGCACATGATGAGAAAATTTTTAAAAAGTTAAAAAAGTGAAAAACTTAATAGACGGGAAAAAATTTATCTGGTTAACAAAAACTTTTAGCCAGTGGTGTGATGAGGGGGGGGGGGGGGGGGGGGGTGTTGGACATTCGACCGCTCCCTTCTCAATTATAGTTGCTAAACTTTTCCAAAGAATCCCCCATTTGGTATCCATCACGACATCCATTTTTGGCTGGCAAACTTCATTTTTTTTAAAAGCGCTTTAGGCGCCAAGATAACTAAATTTGAGGGGGGGGGGGGCGTCAAAAAAAATTTTCAAAAAGGGCTCAAACGTCATTTTTAGGCTGTTTTTTTCTTCAAAATTTCAAAAGTTTGCCTGTCGTCAGAAAATTTTCGATAAAAAAGGGCTCTTAAAGGAAACTCAAATTTGTCACTTTACAAATAAAGGTCGACAAAAACTTCATTTTTTTTGAATAACCGCTCCCCCTCTTTTAAAAAATTTCTGCGCACGCCACTGCTTTTCAGCAATATTTAAAAAAAACAACTGTTCGATTTTGCAAGCAGATTTATATTGAAATTTTTTGGGGTTGAACATATCAAATTAAACCGAACCTGTAGTTTTCAGAAAGTAGCTTCATTAGAGCTCAGAAAATAAAAGCAAAAAAAAAGAGAGATATTTTTCAATATTTCGAAATCCTCTTCACTCCACTTAGACTGTTATGATTTCTCCCCTTTTTATATAGGTCGAAAAATTAACTTGTCAAAACTCAATTAAGAATTGAATGACTAAACGTTCATTGGTTTTTATTTGAATTCTGCGAAAAAGTGTTTCTGATTCTTCTTTTTGTTTCGTGAAAAACTATAGCATCCAACAAAACCGTTGGCTTTTACTTTCTCAGAAACGTGAGCCTTATCGAAGCCAAAAGCCTGATTAATTAATACCCTCCTTGAGTTTTTTTGTACTCCAGTTAATTAAACCAAGTTGAAGTTTTCATTTTTTCTACTATCAAAATCAAGTTTTTGCTAATTGAGTTGTTTTCTGTAAAGAATACCAGACAAATTGTTTATGAAGGGAATTCTGATTAAATCGTGTCACTTCTTATGCAACTGCATTTTCAGTTCCCCGCCGCGCTTTCTTCCTCGTTGATTATTTCTTCAAACTTTTGAAGATGGTGCCGCTTTTTCCTCCCAATCGGGAAAAAAAACCCAGAGGAGAAAAGATGAATAAAAAAGAAGAACTGAATGAACAAAGTGTGAAATATTTAAAGCTATGTTAAGAGATCGAATTCTCTTTTGCACCATCGATTCATCTTACATGAAGAGAGTCTTGTCTTGACTCTTCAAAAAATCAGAAGAACTGCAAGCCTTTTATTTTTGTAAAAATAGAGCGTATAATTTTTATCTCAAGTTTTTTTTTCCTAGTTTTTTATTCAAATCAAAATTTGTGGAAAAAAGGTAAAAAATTTACAGGGAAAAAATCAATAATTGCGGACTAAATTACAAAGTGTTCTCAGCTGGGTAGACTTTTTATCTTGTTGGCGCTATTCAGCGCCGCTATTTTTCCGGAAAACAGACTAATTGTCCTCTACTGCTTATTTCACATCCACATATACTTGAAGTGTAATGATATTAATCAAATAAAGCGTTTTTAGACTTTTTGTTGTAATAAACTGTTTGATTATCCGATCCCAACCTTTGTAAAATTATGAAGCTATCCCAACAAAATTGAATTAAATTGGACAGAGCGTTTTTACATTCCTCTTGAATTTGTTCTTTTTAAGCTTTTTTTTTCTAAATTATTGTATCGTTTTTTAACAGGAAACTCGATGTCATCTTTGAGTACAATTGATCAGCATCATCAACACAATTCACACTCCCACCACCATCCCAGAGGGGGAGGGGGAGAGAGGGGGGACAACAAAGAACCCTCTTCATCCCGACCCCACAACCACCACCCCCACGATCTTCCCGCGACATCATCCTCCCGACACCATCACCACCGCCGCCGCGAATCCTCAGGGGGTCCTCCTGGAGGAGGGGGGCAATACACTCTGTACGACGGAGCTTATTTGACCAAACCGGCGAAAGAATCGCCGGGTGAACAAAAACGAAGACACCGCGTGAACAGAAATTTGGAGGCGGAGGATTTCTCGACTGATCACAGGGTACGCTTTAGTTCATTAGAAATAGAATAATTTAACAATCTTAAAATAATATACTTTTCTCGGTTTTACGGACAGTTCGTTGTAATGAGAAGTTAGTTAACTCATCATTTGCCGAGCAACGAACTTGAACGGACGCTGAAAACTTTTTAGTTCGGTGCTCGGCAAAATGATGAATTATGCTAAATCATCATTGTAACAAACCGTCATTGAAGCAAACCATCCCTGCAAGTAGAAATCAAAAAGTATTGTTTCTAAATCTCATTCAAAAAAAAATTATTTTCTATATTTAGTGCTTCACTTCAAATCAAGAATTTTGTCTTTTTTGAAAACATAATCTAAACTTACATTTTAAGAAGTCGCATATCGCATATCATGCGAATGTCTAATCTACTTTGTAATAAGGATTTTCCGGGTTGGGTTACTAATTACTCTGTAGGGAATATGCTAGCTCAGACTAATGGCTTGTCTAAGTGGCAAAGTATCAAATTTCTTTCCCCTCCGAAATGCAGGGGATAAATATCTCTGCTGAAAAGTACCGCGAATACGAATTCCTTCGAATGCCTTCATGGATAAATTATGGCTCAAAAATTAAAATGACATGTTTTATAATAAACGGATGAGTTCAAGTCATTAATCAAATTTTGGGCCTCAGTTTCTTATCAAAAACATCAACAAGTTTATGTTATTGATCACAACTAGTAAGTCAGAAGTAATAACCTCATATTTCAAAAAATGAGAACTTTTTTATATGTTTTAAAACCTGATTCCAATTTCATAATTTTTGTCTCAAATTTCAAATCAGTGAAAATGACATCTGATTGAAGTAGGTTTACAGACAACTACATGCAAATGATGGAAAGAAAAGAATAAATTACGCACCAAGAATTGAATTTAAAAGTTCAAAGTCAATATTATTATACTTCACATGGTTCCAAGTTGAAGCGCAAAAATGCAGACGTGAATTTTAAGAACTCTGTTTGATTGCTATCTCTGTTTGACAATAAAGGTTAATTTAAGGACTTTTCAAAAATGTAAGGACTCGACTTTTTTCGAGTTAGGTGAAAATAAACAGAGCGGTAACATTGCAAACTTTGAAATAGATAGCACTAGCGGAATCACCACTACGTTAACCTAATAGGTTCTCTTCTAGTATTTTGTATGACATCCATTTTTGGATACCTGACTCTAAAATATTTCTACAAGCGACTCCGGTATCAATTTATACGAAACTTGAGGAGGTTGAACGTGCCAAAAATTGGCTATTTTTTGGTAAAATGGATCGAAACGCCTTATCTGTGTGTTTGACCTCTCTTATTTGAATTTATCGCCGCGGCAAATTTTTTTAGCAAAAATGTTTCGCTATAGTTGTTTGAGAGAGCTCGGAAAATCAATTTGGTTGACCATATGTCTTTCGATGATGCTCATATGAACTCATATTTTCCTATTCTTTTCATTTAAAGTTTGCATACCTTCCAAAATTCGCATCTGTCTTCAGATATTCAACTTATTTGTAAGTATTGATACTTTCCTCGTGGTTAATTTGGTCTCTTTTTTTCCAGGGGGGTCAAAGTTCGGCTGCTCACTTGATGTCCAAATGCAGATGTGGATGTTCCAAACACATTGCAGCCCTGGACGCCAAAGTGGAGTTTCTGAAGGAGGCCATTTTGGACGAACTGAAGCTGAGTGAAGAAGTGACCGATAAGAAGATTGTCGATTTAGACGAAAAAACGACACATCAGGTACCAGAAAAATACAAAACTTGAAAATCAAAACTAACTGAGGGCGCTTTGTAAGAAAATCTGGTCTGTTACATAAGAATTTTGAATATTAGAATGTTAAAAAAAGTTGAAAAGATCAAAGATTTTTGATTTTTTGAAGGGCTCATGAGAGAAAAATTAGCAAAAAAAATTAACAAAATTTCAAAACAGTAACTAACCCAAGTCGCAATTTTTGGCAAATTTACTTTTAAAATAATTATTTTGAAGATCAAACTGTACTAAAGCTGGAAAGAAAGTAATGTTTAACTTTTCAACATTCTCAGGAAAAAAGTTACGTCAGTAACAAGCTTAAAACAAAAACAGTAAGAAGTTTGCCAAAAAAAATTTACCGATAAATTTTCGAAATTTTAAGGTGGCTTGCGTGGACAAGTTATGCCGAGAGAGAATTTCGGCCGAGCGAACAGAGTGCAATCACAGAATGGACAGACGGGCCCTTCAGGAGAGAATCGTCTACTCCAAGGAACTCCGAAAACTCGAGGTTTTTAAGCAGTCCTTTCTTTGATTAGTTTCAAACTAATTTCACTTTTTGTTCTCATCAAAAACAAGACCGAGCAAAACAAAGCTGCACAATACGAAATTGTTCTATTGCAGAAAAAAAATCATTTTTTTGGAAACTTGCACCGGATATTAAGTTTCTTTCGTTTGAAAAACTTTTACAGAAAAGCAGAAAATGTTAGATTTTTTTAATTATCTTTAGCTTCGTATGGAAAACACAATGAAAGTATGGTGCGAGGCTAGATACAGACGGGTGAACGAACGCATTGGAAGCCAGATGAATTTCTACCCTACGCTCTCGTCAACTGTCAGTCCCGGAGGAACCGCCCTCGGAAAACGCCGACACAGTTGTGGTGACGTCGACCCGAGAAACCTAAGTGTCGCCGCAATTACCAGTCAAGACGAATCGGGAGCCGAGACTACTAACTCCTCCTCTAAGTCGGGCTACCGCGACTCGGGTGCGTTCGAATCCCACTCGAAAGCGTCATCGCAAGATTATCCAGTGACGACAACATCGGGAGGTGAATCACTTGGAACAACACCAAGCGAAACAGGAGCTTCGTTGTCGTTCGCTCCAACTCGGTCCAAGAATGTTTCGGGGAACTTTGTCGGTGATTCACATGGGTTCTCGGGGTTTCAACCAATTGAAGAAAAGCCAGGAGTATCAGGAAGATATCCCAATGTTTTCCATAATACTTCAGATGACGCAGAGTCGGTTATTGATACCGAGAGCATCTCGCATCTTCCGGTGCTCCATGGATTGCCGTCCGACAGCATGAAACCGAATGATTTCGCTTCTCTCGCCATTCCGCCACTGCTCACAAAAGACGTTCGGGTCATTTCCGACAACAAAAGGTCCATAAGCGCTCATAGTGACCAGGCCAAAATGGCTTCGGAGGAAATCATGACCCAGTTACAGCAGAACTATGGCTCGATTCACTATAAAGACTCAAGTCGTGGCTGCTCTCATGGTATGAAAAGTTCGTCATATTACAGAGCAGCCAGCACTTCTGTTTCCGGGTCGCATAACAGCGGGGCTAAAATGTCTCTAAGTCCTCTAACAGCTCAGAGGTCACAGGCAAGATTCAGTTCAGTTTCGGGAGCTGGAGTGACCCCTTCTTACCAAGAAGTGAGTGCTCAGTTGAAGGCCATTCAACAGCAGGCGGCGAGATCAAAGGTGGTTAGAAATAGTTCGCTAAGTGATGAACGCAAATCGCATGATTCATCCGGAAGTGCAAACGGATCTCTGAACGAAGGAAAAACCGGAAATAACAATGAACAAATGTTGAGTTTTCAAACTCCAATCGGATCATGGGAGGATAAAAATACACGACATTTAACCGATTTGGAAGCTTCAATGAAGAAGCATTACGAAAAAGACCAACAAGCTTTGAAGCAGAAAATTCGAAATTTAGAACAAATGCTGAAATCTTACCAGCAGCCCTCCAATGGAAACTCCGAAAGTCATCAAAAATCTCAAATTGAGAACTAATTTAAAGTTTTTTAAAACTCACCGAAGCTTTAAATGGAACTAAAACTGGTGGTTAATAAATTGTCTTCTTATGTGCAAAGGTACTTTTGTGTTACAAATGATAACAGTCTGTAAAAATTTGGAATTTTATAAATGCATGATTATGATATCAAAAAAGAGATATTTTGCATATTCTGTTTAATTGCAGTTTTTCTCATATGTTTTCCTGAGCTGCTCAGCACTATTTCGACAAATTTTGTTTAATTTACTGCTTCCTTAAGTTTTTTCCTTAAAATTATATAATTAACGAGGGCGTAGAATTGTAAGACACTTTAAAAAAAAAATAAAAGATATTCAGAAATTTTTTCTGTCGATCCTGGAAAAAAGGAAATATATAATTTTGATTGATTATATTAAATTTTTTTCACAAATTATTCATGGTTTACCCGTGTCTGTTGAGTTTCACAAGGTTTTTAATTTTTTTTGCGTGTAATTTTTTAAAAGGTAAAATTTAAAAAATCAAAAAAACTTGTAACTGTTAAAGATTTCAAAATCAAAATTATATGAATTCTTTTAAAAATGAAATTTTGGTATTAGTTCAAAAAATTTTGATTAAAACACGGGTTGAGTTCAAGTTAAATTTAGTGGTAAAAAATGAAAATTTAGTGGTTGCCATGGATGGCTGCCATGGACAACACTTAAAAGGCCTATTTTTTGTATGGCATGGTTATTTATGCCTTGATCAATGCCTAGTTACTAAAAATTTCAAACTCTAAAAATTTTCATCTTTTAAAATTTTTGGCAAATATGAAAAGATTGATACTTTCATTATATCATTTGCGTCAGACAATTTCAAAACAACTTTGATTGCTTCCTATGCATCGTATTTGTAAGACGTTTCAAACATTGGTGACTATGATTTTGAGAAAAAAACCTATGGTTCAAAAAAAATCACCAACTAAATTTTTTTTTGGTTTATGGAAAATTCTAGTCAAACACACTTCAAATAGCGAAAAACCACTTATCATAGATCTTCTAAGCAATTTTTTAGACTAATGGAAATGCACGTAAAGTGTATGATAAGCAGTTTTCCACATATAAAAGTTTTCTACGGAAGCATTACTGAACTAGCCCCTGAATATTGCAGGCAAATAACACTTTTAATAACACTTTTAATTGCAGAATTTTACATGAGTCAGCGCTGGAAAAATTTAGTAATAAGGATACTACAAAAAAGCGATAACTTACAGTAAAATTCTACCCGCGAAGTTTCTGACATTTTCGTTGAACCAACCTCACAATTATTAGGCGAAGTTACGTCACAGTTGAGTTTCAACAAGCTTTCTCTGAGATAGTAAATAATGAAAAAAAACAAGGACTTGCTCGAAATTTTTTCTCGTCACTGAAAAAGTGGTCAGGGTAAATCTTGTCTGTATACCATTGCCATCAAGCTGCCCAAGTGACATTAAAAACCTATAACTAACAACAATTTAAAAGACTTCATTGTTCAAGGTGATTTCCAACACCAACAAGCTGTAGAGCTCATTGATATCACTTGGTGAGAACATGAGAACTAAGAATAATCAGGCGGCTCAGTTCGCTATGCAAGAAACCAATCTTTAAACTGCAGAAAAAAAACAAAAAATTGAGCAGAAATTTTTCATGGCGGATCTCATTTAATTTTCTAAGGAGATGAGAAGTATATCGTTCACCAAAAATAAATAATCACAACTAAGGTTCAGTTTGCAACTGTTTGTTCGAAAAAAAAGCAAGGCTATGGAACAGCGTCGTTTCAATTCATTATTACCTTCTCTAAAACCGGGCCCCCTGTTAAAACGTCACTTTAAAAAAAACAAAAAAACATCCGGAAGTTTTTTTTTTGCAATTCCTGGAAACATGCAAAAAAAGAAGAAGCGAGCGAACAAAAAAAATGAAACTTTTCAAGCATTTAAAAAAACAATTTTTTGAAAACGAGCCCGTTTTGAAACAAACGAGAAAAAATATTCCGAAAATTTATCTGTCGGCCAACGGAAAAAACTAATCATACAAAGAACCAAAAAATTAATCATACATTTCCGTAAACTAAGTCTATAAAAAACAAATCAGTTATAAAAGTCTCATCCTTTTTGTTGCTAAAAACGTGTCAACAATTTTTCAAAGTCATTTTTTTCTTGTTTTGGCATAAAAATCAGTGTATCGTCTTGAATTAAAATCAGTTTTTTTTTGACAAAATTTTTAATCGAAGAATTTATTTGAATATAAAATGTATGACTAGATTTTTCTGATGTCGACAATAAGTTTTCATAAAAATAGGATACAATTTGCCCCAAAAAAAATTTGCTAGCAATTTTTTTTGTGCGTGCATAACTTAGTCCTGGATACTCAAAAAATAGAATTTTTTTCGTTTCGCTAGAGTTTTCAAAGCTCTCAAAAGCCTTTTTTTATTTGGCACGATTATATATGCCTTATTTAATTCCTGATTGCTTAAGAATTCCAAAAATTTGTACTTTCATTATATAATTTGTGACAAACATTTCAACAACTATTTTTATCGCTTCCGATGTGCATCGAAAACGCAAAACCGTCCATTTTTGGTGTCTATTGTTTTCATAAACCAAAGTTTTTCTCAGATATCTCTGAATACGATCAAAACCCAAAAATGTTGAATAAAAATTATAATTTGGAAAATTGTAAATCAATTTTTCTTTTGTTTATCGAAAAATTCTCTCCTTAAAATTTCCATTTAGTAAATATCACCAATCAAAGATATTTTATGCAATTTTTATACCCATGGAAAAGCAGGAAAAACTTATGATAAAAAATGTATGACTAGCAATTTTGGCCAATCCGATTGATTTTCTACAGAAACATTACTGGACTAGCTCCCCGATATCGCAGGTTTAGCGATGAAAAAAACTCTTTGTTTAGCAGTTTTATACTTGAATCAGAGCTGAAATGTTTTGGTCACATCGATACTACAAAAAAGCGGTAATTAACGGTTGGATTTTTGTCGATATTGATATTTTTTAATGAGTTTAATTCACAATTATTAGGCGAGATTACGATATCACTCTGGACTTTTCAAATACTTTGGATTTAAAATTAGTGTGTCGTCATGAATACAAAACAATTTTTTTTCGAAAATTGTTAATCATACACTTTCTGTATGAATTGACTTCATTGATGACAAAAAAAAATTTTTAACTTAGAAACAAAATTGCGCCAACAAAAAATTTCGCGTGCAGAATATATTTCGTTTTGTGTGCATAATGTAATTCAAAAGAATTTTTTCCGTTTCACAAGATAACTATTGTCAAAAACACTCATAAGACCTATTGTTTGTATGGCAACTTAAAATAGGTTCTGTTAATATAGATTAAAACATTAAAAATACAAAAACTAGTTTTTTTTGGTTGTAGAAAAATTCTATCCATACAATATCCATAGAAGAAAATTTACTAATCACAGAGTTTCTATGCAATTTTTTATACTTATGGATTTGCATGAAAGTCTATAATTTGCATTTTTTCATATGATTTCCAAACTGTATAAGTAGCTTTCTCGGCTAATCCTGTTGATTTTCTACAGAAGCATTAGTACACTAGCACCGAGATATCGCAGTTTCAGGGTGCAAAAAAATTTTTTTTCTTCGGAGAGTTATACTTGAATCAACGCTGGAAATATATAGTCACATGGATTCTACAAAAAAAGCGATAACTAACGTTGGGATTCAACCCGCAAACTCATTTCTGACATTTTCATATGGAGCCAAACTCACAACTTATAGGCGATTTTACGAAATAAACCTGAGTCTCAACAAGCTTCCTTTGCGCTAATCAAGATTTAAAAAATACTTAACTAACATAGTTTTTCTGCCCGTCCTTAAAAACGTGCTCAGAACAAAAATTGTTTGTATACCACTGTCACCCAGCTGCTCTAGTGACCTCAAAAACCGACCATTAATCAAAAATTAAGAGACTTCCTTGTCCAAGGTGATTTCTAACATCAGCAAGCTGTAGACCTTATTGATATCAAATGGTGAAACTTTCAAAACCAAAAATGACCAAGCAGTTAAGTTCGCTGTGTGCGATGAACCAATCTTTAAACCGCAGGAAACGTCAAAAAAAGCTGAATTTTTTGAAACCGCAGGAAACGTTAAAAAATTGGCTGAATTTTTTCAAACCGCTTCTTAATTTTTTGAAGAATGAAGTTTAGATTAAGAAGCTTACCGTTCAACGAAATCAAATCATCACCTTTGAGGTTCAGTTTGCTACTACTTGATCGAAAGAAAAGTCAAGCTCTGGGACCAGGTCGTTTGGCTTCAAACCACATTACTCTGCTGGACCTCTGGCAACAAACTTTAAACAATATGATTATGCTTTTTCCATGAGCAGCGGCAGTAACCTCAAACCTAGAAATTCGTGAAACTTATTGTTTTGCAGCAACCAAACGGAATTGAAACAGAGATCTAAGCAAGTTTGTCTCATTGAAAATCTTTCGTCTAAAACCCAGCTGTTTGGATGCCTAAAACTTACTAATTTGAATGCAGTGTTCAAATAAATTACAATCCAGAGACAGATCAAGCATTCCTGCTCTCAATAACATTATACTGATAACAATCCAGTCAGAGCTGAATCAAAAAAACTTTACGACTATTCCTTGTCGATGGCGTTAACGTACGTATCCAACTCGTTCCTGAGAAATTGTTTATTGGTCGTGGCGTCTCCGCCTTGGTCCGGAAAGACGCGCCACGTTCGCCTCCGTCTGGAAATCAGCGCCGATACCGCCTTGGTCTCGAAAGTCGCACCGTCTCCGCCTTGGCCTGACGCGTTGGTACCGCCTTGGTCTCGAAAGTCGCACCGTCTCCGCCTTGGCCTCTACGCGTTGGTCTGGAAAGTCGCGCCGTCTCCGCCTTGGTCTGGAAAGTCGCGCATTCTCCGCCTTGGTCGCAAAAGTCGCGCCATAACCGCCATGGTCGCGCCGCATCCGGATTCAGACCCAAAATGCTTAGTCGCGCCGAGAGTTTGAGTCTGGACATAAGAACTGGAAAGTCTGGACATGAGTCGCGCCAAGGGTCGCGCCGCATCCGCATTTAGACCCAAATTGCATAGTCGCGCCGAGAGTTTGAGTCTGGAAAGTCTGGACATGAGTCGCCATAAGGGTCGCGCCGCATCCGGATTTAGACCCAAATTGCATAGTCGCGCCGAGAGTTTGAGTCT